GTGACGTGACAGCATTGGATAGAGAAATTAGTTAATTTACAAGCTTCCTTACAAACGGGTGCATAGTTATTATTATTATTATTATCATAATTATTATAATTATTATTTACTCTTACAGTTACGTGATGCGTTTCTGGTCTCAAATTGTAGCTTTTTACTTCATACAGTTTATAAATATGTGAATTTCTGTCATGATGGTTTTTTTCCATAAGACTGAATGTTGACAATTAAAAGAACCAAAGACTTAAACTACTTCAGTCTGTGTGCATTGAATTTATTTAATACACGAGTTTCACAATTTGAGTTGAATTACTGAAATAAATGAACTTTCCCACGACATTCTAATTTATTGAGATGCACCTGTACTTGACTAATTCCAGTACAAAACCTATAGGATGTTGCGCATGCGCAACTGAACGAATCACTCCCCGAGACGACTCGTTCTTCCCGAGTCACATTAAAGATTCGTTCAAAATGAACGAATCGTTCAAGAACGACCCACCACTACCGGAAATACGGTCAGATTTGCCGCACGTGTGTTCTCCAGCAACACAAAATCTCCCTCAAGTTAAACTTCTACGTTTGTTTCACATATTTTTTTTAGCGAAACATGACAAAGGTAAAGAAGGAGAAAACTGGCGAAGAGGAGACTGGGGGAACAGAGAAATCATATCAAGAATTGATAGCTAATGTAAACCCAATCGCAAACCCGCTTGCATCGCGTAAACTAAGCAAAAAGCTCTACAAGTGCGTCAAAAAAGGTAAAAATGTGTTTCAAGAACTTTTTTTCTATAACCGTAAGCTATAGCAGATTTGAATCTGAATAAAATGTATTAAATATGGCTGTATATAGTTTTATTGTTGAAGAGACAGCCACGTGGTTGCGGTCAGTTATTATAAATGTTCCTCATTATTTTCCATAGCGGCTAAAATCAAACAGATCCGACGAGGAGTAAAAGAGGTACAGAAGTTTATCAACAAAGGAGAGAGGGGGTAAGGCGAGGTTATTTTCCTCGTGTGTCAGTATCATTCAGTCACTGGTCGGTCAGTTCACGGTTATGTTTGTTATTTTAACACTCTTTCTGTCATCTTGTAGTATTGTGGTGTTTGCTGGAGACACTCTTCCCATCGACGTGTATTGCCACTTACCAATCATGTGTGAAGACAGAAACATGCCCTATGCTTATGTGCCATCTAAAGTTGTAAGTTCATCAGAACTGTACAGTATATGATATTATAATTGCCTTTCTTAAATCAAAGATAGTACAGAGTTACAATACTCGCGTGTTTGTTTTCCTCCTTCTGCAGGATTTGGGTTCATCAGCTGGATCGAAGCGTCCCACCTGTGTTATCATGATCAAACCACATGATGAATATAAAGACGCTTATGATGAGTGTCTGGAGGAAGTCACGTCTCTGCCCAAACCAATCTGAGGACACTTCAATGTTTTATTTTTGTTTTTAAAAGAATGATTGAATATATAAAATCAGATTAGGATGGCTGTGAGTGACTTTGCATGGTGTTCGTGTTCACCAGTGCATCTGTCATGTCATGTAGAGACTGAACCCAATTCTGGATCGTCGTCTTTGTGGACTTCTTCATTTGCTGAAAGAAGTATGATAGCAGTTAATATGATGTTGCTTAAACGAAACTTTAGTTCGTGTCACCTGACAGTGGATAGAGCTGTTGTTCAGCCTGTTGTGTTTCTCAATGTTTGACACTCTTGATCTCTGAAACGTTTGATGTATTGATTGGTTTACTTTTCATTTTTCATAACTGCTTTGGGGCCGTGGACCCCAGAGAGCTCCAAGAGATGTCAAAATAAACCTTTTCATTTTTTTTTTTTTTTTTACTGTTTCACATTTTCTGGTTTCTTTGGTCTTGATTTAACTGTTTTTACTATTTAAGTGGGTGTCATACAAAAACACTTATAATTCATAAAATCTGGATGTTTATTTTTAAAATGCAGTGCTCTGAACTTTGAAAAATCATCAAAATAAAATCATAGAACGCATTCTGCATTTGCATTCTGAGAGAATAAATCTGAGTTGTTGGCCTCATGTACTTCCACATACATTATTTTAAAACAAACATGTTTGATTTGCCAATGTTAATATCACACTAAAATGTGTGTGTGTGTGTGTGTGTATATATATATATATATATATATATACGTATTAAGAGATTTTATATTAAAAAAGATCTTACAAAATAAAACAAGATATGGAAATGTTCATGCATTAAAAAAATTATAAACAGGTAGTCCAATGTGTAACGTTAATGCCTTTTCTCCTGTGTTGGATGACATGACGTTAATGCATATTTCATAATTTGTTCTGTAAAATAGCAAAAAGGTGTTGGCAAGGTACTTGTTTTTCAGACATCTAAGATTTGCAGGATGCGACGTATTTAATGACATCTGGCAACAAATCAGGCTGCACTTGGTGCGTTATACTTGAGATCTATAGTAAACATTGACTCACATTCTCAAAACTCGGAACTTATATCTATAATGTATTTGTTTTCCTTTATATACATATTTTACCCATTTTGTATTGTAATGGCATTGTTTTGCTTTTACAAAAACTAGAATAATCTTCCCTTAACCTCCTGAGACCCTGTGACCTCATATGAGGACATTATATTTTGGTGTATTTCTCTGAGACTATACATGCCACAGTTTTAAGTCTGGATGTCCTGTGCAGAGCACATTCAGAGCTTTTCAGAGATACTAAATGTTTGGATGTTTCACTATGACCACTCCCTCTCCTTGGTATATATATAAATATGTCTTGGTATATATATAAATATGGCAAATATGTCTGATATTAATTTAGTGACTCTTATGGAAATATGATAATATTTTGTAATTATCATTTAAATCTGTCTAATTTTTAAACTGTCATAAATCAACATCTCAGGAAAATGTTATGGGGTTTTAAATCAAAATATGACTGTTAGGAAACAGGACGTTGATTTCATACATGTCCTCATATGAGGACACTGGGACTAAAAGCGTGTTTATTAGCATTTTGGGAGACAACAAATGAATAGGGAAAGAAATTGTGTTTCAATATTCTATGAAATATTATATATTATTATGAAAATCTTGTCAAATATTACTCTCATTATTACACTTCTTTTTTCATTACATGTTGCCCCAAAAACACATTAATATGCAAATTAGATTTAGTTTATAGATACATTGTATATAATGAGAAAACCCGTTTATGGCCATTTTACACACATTTTGCAGAAAGAAAAATGGTATATCAAATCATTCTGTTATAACATAGTTGAGAATCATCTTTATACAAAGTTTGGTAAAAAAAAAAAAATCCTGAAAACTAAAAATGTATGGGTGATTTAAAAAATCTATTGTTTTTGCCTATGCATGTTCATTCATTCATGTCTTTTTTTAAATTTTTTTAATTGAGTCCCGATTTTTTTCCTAAAAATCTTTTCTCGGGTCTTAAGAGATTAAAGTAGCACAGAAATTCGGCTGTATAATGGACTGAAACAAAGTTTGACAAACTAATGCAAAAGGAAACACTACATAACAGTGGTTTTGGCAACAGTCCACATGGTGGCAGTATTGTCCTTCCAGAAACTGTCCTTCCATTCGAGGTCACTTCTATCCCCCAAGCCTTTACACACTCCTCACTGAAGTTCATTGTATGAATGCAGTATTTTGTATCAAGACATGATAGAGATCCCTCATCATTCTCATATATTTACTTAAAGCTCATTACTGTAATAGAATACGACCATAAATAGAGCAGGGCCTCTTTGTTTAGTGCAGCAACACAGTGTGTTAGGTGTTGAAACTGATAAACAGACTCCACTGCGAGTCTCTTTCGTTTCACTAGGCCCAGATTCCTGGTGCTTGTTCAGTCTGTGTTGACATCTTAAATATTTAATACTGAAATGCTTTTACTCCCATGTTGTTTGTTGTTTTTTTTGGCACATATTACTCCCAAATCATGTATAAAAGCACAAGAGAGGGGTTTCAGTCCTTCAGTTTGCTAAAACCTGAGCACTGGACGGTTGACACTTCAGACTACTGCCACTGCTTCCATGATAAAGACATATAAAGACACCAAGCATGGAAGACATGGATAATACAGCTTCTTTCGCTTCACATTTCATCATTGTTTTGGATTATACATGTTTTTCTTGTCTTTTGAGGTACCAGGAGCACAGTTGGTCCACCAGGTCTGAGGAGGTACTTACAGCAACGATAAACAATACAGATTTTTTTCTTTCACAGTTGTTGTGGGAAATGCAGATGAATTCAGATTGGATTTTTAGAAATGTTTGGTGTTTTGGTGTCTCAGATACTCATTGATGAGTTCATTATCATAATATGTGTAACCGGACACATGCATTGGCTATTGAACTGCATATTTGTTCTTAATGGATGAAGATCTTGATGGGACAGAAACTGCATTAATGCATGAAGAAAAATGTGACAAGGACAAGCAAAGGTCCTTTCTGCGAGCCACATTCCAGGCCACGTGTTCACCTATTTACTCCCAACAGCGGGACATGGTCTGATGTGAGTCACCTGTGTTCAGGGGGATGGTGCCATAGCCAGTGCCATGAGTTTACCAAACAAGCTTTAAAGTTCAGCCATGTTTTAGTGTACACACTTCAAAGTGAGGTCAGTGTTTAATATGGGCGCTGGAGGATAAACAAAGAAATGGAAAAATAAATTCAAGCAATTAGTTATTTTAGTTACAGAGGTGTGATATTGTTTGCCTGCATTAATTAGGGGTTAGGGGTAAGCATCACTATTGCTATTTGAACAAACCCTTAGGCATAAGTATTAAACTTCAGCGCAAAACTCATTGTGTTACAGGCGCAAATGATTCCTCAAATTATGCGAGTTGCTGAGGAGAGATGAGCTGTAACATCTTCATTTTCATGCAGTGGACAATACAATTTTTTTTTAAACATGATATCTAAGTAGATGATCATTGAGACTTTAGATTTGGAGCTCATAGCTGAAAAACAAGACAAAACAAATACAGAATATCATTGAAACTTTAGATGTGGAACGCCCTAAAAAACAAAAAAAATTAGATTTGGAGAACATAGCTGGAGAAAAGAAAAAAAAAATTAGTGTTGTCAAACGATTAATCGCGATTAATCGCATCCAAAGTAAAAGTTTTTGTTTACATAATATATGTGTGTGTACTGTGTTTATTTATTATGTATATATAAATACAAACACATGCATGTATATACTTAAGAAAAATATGTTACGTTTATATATTAAACATGTTTATAAATGATAGAATTTATATGAAAATAAATATATACTCGTAAATACATGTAAATATTTTCAAAATATATGCTGTATGTGTGTGTTTATATATACATAATAAATAAACACAGTACACACACATATATTATGTAAACAAAAACTTTTACTTTGGATGCGATTAATCGCGATGAACCGTTTGACAGTACCAAAAAAAATATAGAATGTCATTCGACTTTAGGTGGGGAGTGCCCTGCTGGAAAACCAAACCAAACCAAAACAAAACAAACAAAACAAAACAAAACAAAACAAAACAAAAAACTGTTTAAAAGTTTGAATTGATCTTCATTAGATGGTTTTAGAGGGATTTTAGGCACTTTAGTCACTTGTCATCTAGACAAGTTGAATGACCTGCTTAAACCACATAGCAACCAAACAAACACCCTAGCAACCACATAGTAATATGCTAAAACCCAGTCTGAACAATTTAGCAACCCATTGCGACAGCCTTGCAACTACCCACAACACAATAACACTGTATTGGTACAATTTATACAATGGTTATACATAAAGATCTTCACACTATTATGGGTTTATTTCTAGATTTTTTAGTTAATTTAACAATTGTTCTGATGTCAAGATATTACACAGCACAGAAAAAAAGGCACTGTGATTTAAGGCCTCGTTTGAGACAGCAGTAACTGAAAGATGGAGAAAACCAATGTACAGTTGGCTTTCTTCCATACCCTTGTCTATAATTTCATGTTTGCCTTTATCTCCCAAATCTCCACACATTTTCTTTTTCTTTTTTTCTTCTATCTTTTCTCTGTTGACATGTTTAACGTACCAAGTTGACTGTTTGAGATGGAAACGCAGGAGGATGCAGGTCCTGGCTCATCTACTTTTCTCAGTATCTTAGCCGAGATGTCTTTTCCAGGGCTTGGCACTGCCCTTGCATGTGTTTAGGGTGTCAACAATGCACCTGCTGCCTGCCGTCCCCTCTCGAACACCAGCACGCGCCACCGAGACACCCCCTCAACCCTCACCCACTTCACCCTGCTTCACCCTGCTTCACCCTGCCAGCTCTAACCGGTTCATGTCGTGTATCGTTCTTATAAATCAACACGTCGGACTCACTGCTGTGTGTACAACTGTAGCATTACTGGAACTCGAGTTCTGCGCATGTTCTTGTGTGGCCCATCTTTCCTCTCTCTAAAGTCTGGGACAGTTTCTATTCCGGACAGGTGCTGGTGATAAAGCAGGTGTAGCAGGAGATTTACTGATTTCATCGTATTCTGTTGAGCAATAATTCTGAGCCTGGGGCGTGAGGCAGGTAAATCCTCCGCTGACTCCGACGAGAGCAAAGCCCCTGTCAGCACCGCAGAAAGAGAAAGTTTAAGATATTCTAGAGGAGAAACTTCATACATATTCCTGTCTTGGGATAGAAAATGCATTTCAAGTTTCAATTATGTTTCATATTTGAAATGTATTAAATATTTAAATTTACACTACCTTTCAAATTTTCAAATATTTACACTACCTTTAAAAAGTTTGGGATTGTTAGGATTTTTAT